ATATATATATATATATATATATATATATATATATATATATATATATATATATATATATATATATATATATATATATATATATATATATATATAGACTACACAAAAGTTGTGTAGTCCCCCATAATTACAAGGTGGGATACAGGAGAAAATTCTCCAATCCTTTGTCATCTCACAAGGATTCTAAAACATCAAAAATTGATTCATGATCTTCTAAGTACTCTCCTTTACACCAAAAATAGAAAAGAACTAAACACTTAATTTTGATCTTCTGAATACCGCTCGACTTATCTTCAAAGCATCTTTGATTTCTTTTTTGAAAAGCGGAGTATTTTCTTCTTTAAATACCACGGTCAGTTTCTCCCTAATCAAAAAATAGAGCATCAAACATTTTGCTTTGACCAAGTGAATAATCGGGTTAATGGTGTTGGCTAAAAAGAAAAAAGTGCAAAGGCAAATGCCAAATTCACTGGTATAATGCTCTACTATTTTATTTGTTTTGGATAAGGTAAAGGTTTCATTAAAGGAGGACCAAGAAGGTACCCAAAAAATTACAAGTTACAGCATAGCTGCATCAGTTGCATTCCCAAAACACCTATAAAATCCATAAACTGATCTAAGTTTTCAACTATATTTTCTTTACACCAGAAATACAAATTTTGAAGGCAACTAATCTTTACAAAAGCTAGGTGATTTCTTTGGTTCTACTATTATACTCAACAAGAAATTTCTGCAACTGTCAATCAGTCTCTTGCCCATAAACAAGAGCAGTTTTTACAGGATAGCTAAAGCCACAGGAGAAACTATGCTTCCAAAGAACTGAGATGATGCTAATTCCCAATCTATGTACATATAATCAATGATCCAATGACATCACAAGCAGATTGACCTACAGGATGTGGTTCTATCACTAGGGAACTGTGTGTACTTTCTACTAGCCTTGTTCGAACCAAAATACAATGTTGGATATCCATTCCCACAACAACGGCTAGCGGAATTTTCCGCTTCGAAAAATCTATTTGGATGATCTAAAAATCACACAAATGGTCATCCTATTCATTGCCTATTTGACATATAACTAATTCCAGATGGTCTGTAAGCAAATCATACTTCTTATCGAACTGACAATAATTATTGTTACGATCAAAACCAATACCATTTAAAACAAACAAAAACCTAGTATTCTATTATCCTTGCACTTAAAAACTTCCAATTTATTGTTTCATGCACCTATATCGTAATATAGTATGTATATAACCATCAGGAAAAAATGAATGAGCATATAAACAGAAACAACCAATGCAACATCTAAAGAATTTACAGAAATGAAATTCTCATACGTCATAGAAATAGCTCACGATTGTCAAATTTTTTAAAAGCCACGCATTAAGTAATCGAAGTGCCAAAATCGCTGAAATGAAACCCTAGAGAATCCTAACAATACAACAACGTACAGCACTTCACGTACACGAGCGCATATATATATATATATAGAGAGAGATGAATAGTGGTCTCACCTTGCTGTTTCAGGTCGGAGAAAGAATCTAGAGAGAATCTAGAGAGAGGAGAGAGAGAGAGAGTGCGTGACTGATGGTTTGCTGCCTTTGGGGGTTTTACATTTTCGGAGAGAGCAGTATACGGGCCGGTATTCAGTGGACCAGCCCAATAATTGCTTGGGCCTAGACATTGGCCTTTAAGAAGTTCAACTGTTTAGAGAAAAAAAAGAGAATTCTACATTGTAGGTCACTTATTTAAGACTACTAGTCTCTATGTTCGTGTGATGCACGAGGTATCTTGTGCTAAATATTAAACATGTGTCAAAAGTAATACACTTTTAATTGCGTAAACTACTTGTTATTAGTACGTATGAAGTTATATAATTAGTTCCTTGAAAAAAAAATATAATATATAATTCAAACCAATTTATTAATTAAGTTTTAGCACAATTGAAGGATAAAAGTATAAAATTGTTGCAAGTAGATATATTTCAAATTATTATATTAAAATTGGTGAAAAGACGACTAACTTGATAACGCTAGTAGATAAGAGCATGAATATTTCTTGTCTTTATGACGCATTTCTTTTTCATATATATATATATATATATATATATATATATATATGTGTGTGTGTGTATAGACATACACATTAATAAATTTAGAACAAATCAACCCAACCCACCTTCAATAGAGAAAGAAGCACGAGAGTGTTTCCAACATATAATATGTAGTCACACAAATTTATATTAACGTGCATCTGGTAGAAAAAATAAAATAAATAGAACAGAAGAATTCAACCAAACACAGCCGTAATTAGAGAAGGAAGCACTGAAATATGCTGAAAGTAAAAATATTGCCGAAGCTTAAATAACTCCTTGGTATTGATTTTTTGTTCTTCCTTAAATTTAGCCACCACACTTTTTTTTTTGCTAACCCCATAATTAATCTAATACAATTATTTTGACTATGATACTAAACACATCTTATAGGCATGTGAATAATATGAATCTTATTAGTAAATAAATCCATTGAAGAATATGAATCCTAGTATGCATTGTATATTAATTCAAGTTATTACAATTCTATCCAATATGAAATAATTCCCTTTGGAGAAATATTCAATATTGAGGGCATAGAAGTCCGTTAATATTTCAGGGATATATTTGTTGTTTAACATTTAGCATAAATTATTCGTGCTATTATAGTCTCAATGTACGTGCTTTGCACGTATATCCAAGTAAAGAATTATAATTTATACAAAAGATAATAAAACATTAATCGTTAAATACATCTCATTAACTGGAACATGCACAACTTTTATCAAATTGATTTATCTTTTCTTGTGAACATAGGCTCTCCAGCAAAACCGAGAGAACAATTAGAGAAAGTATGTGGTAATAACTTCTTGTCGACATAGTAAATTTTCTTATCCTATCAACTTATATATAATCTCTAGCAAAATCAGACTTTGGAATTAAAGAAATAAGTGTAAGGAAATTATGCAACAAAAACTTCCTGGAAATCATGCGACATGGATGTCAGATGAAGCATACTCCCAACTTCAGTGAACGGCTCTTTAGCTATATAGATCTTATCTTATAATGAGCAAATATACTTTAATGAAAAGTTCTCTTTTCTGTCGTGTGAATTTTTCATGGACACATGTTAGCACTCTAGGCATGTGTGGTAAAAGCAGAGTCATCAAAATCAAAATTAGATTCACACGCCACATATCAAACCTTGATGAGTATCACTACTAATATGGCCTTACTACTAATTCGTAAGCAAAAATTATTGTTTTAGTCGAGTATGTAAAACTACTGTTCATGAGTCTAAATAATAAAGTTCACGTAGTTGCTTCCCATAAATAATTAACATGCTTTAAGATATCGATCAATGCACCAAAATATGTTATTCTTTCCTTGTCTATTGCTTGATTAGCTAAAACATACTTGCATACGCCGTTGTTGCATCATATTCTTACCAATTTTCACCAAGTTTTGTTTGCAAGAAGTAGATCTCACAATTAAATATAGACCAAAAAGAAAACAAACAAACAAACAACAACAACAACAACAACTCAGTATAGTTTCACAAGTGGGATCTGGGGAGGGTAATATGTACGCAGACCTTACCCCTACTCCGAGGGGCAGGGAGGCAAAAAGAAAAAAAAAACAAAGACAAAGTAAATTTCCTGTTTTCTACATGTGTTGATGAACTTGATGATATGAGTGCTAAAGTAAAGTAGATAGAATTTGATTCACAATCTATTGTTTTACAAATTCGAGTTTTCTTCAACATATCATCAAGATATTTTGTACAAATATATAATATGCAATTAATTCCTAGTTATATTGAGACTCAGCAGAAAGTTTCCTTTGCAACCACAAATTCCTCAATTTCGTTCCATCACGAAGTCTTTCTTTGTAAGATCAATTGTTCAATACGTTCCATTACAAAAGATTTAGTAAAGTTTGAATTGATCTCAAAGTTCTAAATATTATGAGCTAATGTTCAATTTACAAGAAATAATAATTTAGTTGTAAGGGTATTCAATGATATTTTTGTCGTTCAACATTTAATATGAAATATTCGTGCTTTTATAATAATATAGATATAGATAGATAGATATAGAATATAGATATAGATATAGATATAGATAGACTAATTACCGCAAATACTAAGTGAATAAAATTGTTCTTCAAAAAAAATTCTCATTGATGTTAAAATATTTTTTTCCCCATCATGAATACAATTGGAATACCATTAATATGTTACTTTCCAATTGCCATATAGAAACTACTTCAAAGGAACGTTTACAAATTTTGTACCAAGTTTCTAAATAATTAACTTTTAGATGTTTATTTAAGGTAAAATATTAATCGATTATAAAGTTCTAAATTTTAGATACACCTAATTTAAATAAGGAAATATTTAATAACCAAATTTCAATAAACCTTTAGGTCCTACATATTAAAAAAATAATTAAATGACTATTTTATCTAGTGTGAACTCTATTTTTAAAGGGTAAAAAAGGCGAACGACATTTCGCTAAGGGCCTTCGTGCTTTTAATATAATATATAGATATAGATATAGATTAACACAAATCACTTCTTATTTATTCCAAAAATAGCAGCTTCATTTACAAATATAGCAGGTTCCTAAGTCCATATATTTAATCCCATTTTCATAACATAAATAGAGATCCACTAATTGAGGGATTCGTTTTTGTCCTTATTAACCTATTCACTTTTCTCTCTACTCTATTTTCACTTTTCTTACTACTTTGTTGCACACCCCCACCCCCAAACTCCATATTCGTTCTCTCCTTTTCCCCACTCTCATCTTCCACCTTCACTTTTTAAACCTAACCCCATTTTCAACCTCTAAAGGCATTTGTTGCCTTCAGAGAAAGAAGCTTGGTGTAGTTGTACCCATATTTTTAACCCATCATGATGAGTCATGGCGCATCTCTCTTACCATCTAATCCACTAGTTGTTCTATTTAATTTTGTTTGTTTCTATATTTTAATTTATGGGGTTCAGAGTTAAGGTAAGTGGTACGGAGTTACAAAATTTGGTACGAATAAGATGATTTACTCGATCATGGTGATTACTGGAGATGATATACCACATGTTTAAATAGTTTTTTCTTAAATATACATAATTTATGTATATCTTTTATATTTTTAGAATAATATATAATTTACAAATAAATATATACTAAGTAGTATTATTTATCCTACACATATAATTAAATATACACGAAGCACATAATAAGTCAATATATAGAGTATTACAAATAATATACCTAATTTATTCTAAGATTATACGTTATTGCTAATTATACATAATGATATCCCTAAGATTTTTTATTATACTTGGTTTATGGTAAATTATACCATATATAAGTGAATAAGCATTTATGGTTTATAATGTTCATATACCACGTATATAATTGATCACGCCCAACTATGCCTTATAAAAAGGACTCTGCGGACGTTGCAAATATAACCCGAGTATTACGCCCAGGGTCGAATCCATAGAGAGTTAACCTATCAACCGCTATCTTCAGACCCACCAAGTCTTCAGAACCAGCTTCTCAAATATTCAAATTCTCAGTTGAGTGTTCTTTAACAACTAGCTTGCAAGTAACTAAATGGCTGTAACTAAATTAATAAGGTTGTAAACAATTATGGGACAAAGCTAAGGCAATGATTTCCCCTATTGATGGAATCCTTTCTGTTTATGCTCATACAAATTTACCCACACATCTCTATCAATCATGAACGCTAATCTTACCGCAAATCTCTCCCGAGTAATCACAGTAATCTACTATTGCACTCTCCCGAGATACACTAGCTTGCTTTATTTAGCACAATTCAATTTAGATTGCACCCAAGGCTTCGTTATTCCTAATCCCGCCTTTAAACCCGCAATTATAGATTCCTCTAATAATCTAGGAGTGGTGTTGTTCAACAATACCCTAAATATGCACTCTTTTCCAAGTTATGCACACTAAATAGGCACAGCTAATTGAGGATCCTGTCAATTAACTACAACGAACACGAAGTTGAACAAATAGAGATTAAACTAGCAATTTGTATTCACATAAACAAGAAGTTCATCACCCAATAGGTTCCATCAAAACCTTAGACAAGGAATTTAGCTACTCATGGCTATGGGAAAATAAACTAAGATTGAATTCATCATAAAATCAAAAGAAAAGAAGAAAGATGTTTGGAGTATTCTCTCACAATGTTTTCCTTGCTAAGAAACCCTCAAAATCAATACATGCCTCTCTTGGGCGAAGTCTAATGTTTTAAATAGGGTTTAGGTCTAAAAATCCCGTAATTGACACTTTGGTCCCCGAAGTTTCTACGCCTGCCGCGGTTCTGCCGCGGTCGCGGTAGAACCGCGGCCAAACACCCTCGCGGATTCTCAATCTTCTGCAGCTGCTTCCCACCGCGGTTCTGCCGCGGTCGCGGTGGAACCGCGGTGGATCCAGTATTCTGAATCTTCGGCCTGTTTTGCACGGGTCACTTGGGAAATTTCATAGTTGGCCTCTTTTTCATCACTTTTAACTCCAAAACTGCTCATTAGCCTTCCTTATACATATATCACCT